TTACCCGAACAGACATGACATACACATCTCCTGGTGAACAGGTAAGTCTTTTGACAATGCCCTTTGCCTTAGCTTTAGATATGCCTGTTGATAGAGAACTTGACCTTTGACCTGCTTTCACGTTTCTGAGCTCTGGCGAGATACCTTTTCACAATGCTTTACTTTTTCAAGGCCCGTGCTGCTTTATTTTTACAAGGCCTGAGGCCTATATCGGGTAAAGGCCCTTTTATTTTTTATTTTTTAGAAATATAAAAAAGACAAAAAAATAAAATAAAAAATATGGGGGTCTAGAGCCCGAAAAGCTCTACATCCCCATATATTTATTGTACGGGACCGGCCGTATGACAGAACCCTCGTACGACGTACGGGGTGCAACACAGGATTGGAAGTTCGCACCGGAAAAGGATCAGTTGACAATGCATAATGTCTCCCTGAGCATAAGGAGGTCTGTGATGTGCCAACTTCCATGCTTGAATGAGCTTCCGAAGCCCTGGGTTCTGCTACTCTTTTCTTTTCGGTCTCTAATGGGCTTTGGGTTACCTTCTTTTTTGGCAAGCGGGTAATGCATGGAATCCATGGCCGCCGAGGCCCTCCGACTTCAAAGTATTGTTGTTTCCTTGGAATGTTCGTATTTTTCCCCCCTTCAAAAACCATGAATTTACGTAGGAATTACGTGCGCTTAATTTCATTCAACAGTTGGATGTTGCCACTACTCTCTGGAGTCTCCGCCCGCCGTTCATGTCCCCACCCGTTACCCTCCTCGGAGTCCTCGCCGGCAGTAATTGTCCATCCTCCATAGCTTCCATGGCCGGCGTCGCAGGTGTGACCCAGTAGGAGGGCGTTGCAGGTGTGACTGGCAGCCGACGAAGGCGTCACGACTCAGGAGATGGGCGCGCCTGGTGCATACAATTGTGGGTGGGTATGGGTAAAGAAAATCTGGGCTGCGTAGGGTACGGTGGTTAACAGACAGTTTGCATTCAGGTGTCCATGGGTAGTTTTAAAGAAAAATAAAGTCCATAGGCAGGTATGGGCAGTTACAGTTTGAAGAGCTGCAGGTAGGGCAGGTATGACCGTATGGGTACATGTCTTTCTCTTTTGGAGCAGGTAGAGATGGGGAAAGGTCCGGTAGGCGAGGTATACAGTATGGGTGGTTGGTTTTCAAAGAGGGTGCAGTTAGGTTGGGTACAGGCTGTACAGACAATCCTAAAACTCCTGGTTGCCACCTCTGGTGGCCGCCTCCATGGGTGGATTTCATAGCTAATACTAGCCTAATAGGTAAAGTGAGCTGCGATGAAACTGAAGCCCTGTGAGGGACATTTCTCCCCACCCCAGCATGGATCGTACGCAGACTCTTCCGGACATGAATAGATATGAGGGACAACTCGCAGCACCGGCCAGACTTCCACCAAGCACTTCCACAAGGGCGTACTACCGTTTCTTAGTGCTTGAAATGGCAATTTGGGTAGAAAAAATCTGTTGGGCTTTCTTTTTTTTAATTTTTTTCTTTCTCCGTCTGACACCACGACCCTTGTGGTTATGACACCTGGCCTGACACCATGGTCCTTGGTACTTTCATAATTGGGGCAACGGCTGGTGGGTCACAACCCACGTTTTGAATGGGCAAAAAAACAGTAGTCCGCAGGTCCGTCCCGACCGTGGTTCAAAACGGCAATAATAACAGTGGCCCGC